AGAGAGTGAGAGCCAGAGCACGCGTGTGCGTGAGGGAGGGGCAGAGAGAGAGGATGAGAGAGAATCCCAAGCATGCTCTGAGCTGTCAGCATAGAGCCCAACGCGGGGCTTGGACCCACGAACCGTAGGATCATGACCTGGGCAGAAATCAAGAATCAGATGCTTAATGGACCGAGCCACCCGGGCTGCCCCACATCGTAGCCATTTTTAAGTGTACCGTTCAGTATTGTGAAGTGGTTTCACGCTGTTGTGCAACAGTCTCTAGAACTTTTCATCTTGCAACACTAAAACTCTACGCTTGCTGAATGCCGAAATTCCCCATCCTCGCACCCCCAGCCCTGGGTCACCAGCTTTCCACTCTCCGTTTCTGTGATTTTTGACCACTTCAGATACTTCACATGAATGGAATCTTACAGCATTTGTCCGTTTGCTTGGCCCTTTTGAAAAAAAAAAATCCGTGTCTGGCACTGTTCACAGGCACGACGACCTCCCACTAGTAAACATCTCCAATTGTGCGCACACACGCACCCAGGAAAAGAGCAAAGGGAAGCGAGAGATGGCAGCAAATACTCACATAGCCACCTCTTGGGAGAGGATCCACATAGAGTTGGAAAAAGCCCTCTAGAAATTCTGATGCTCCCCCAGGAATATGCCCCCTTGCTGCGAATCACTGCTGTGGATAGAGAGAGGGTTCAGCTAACCCTGGGAGCAGGGCAGAGGTCGGCTGTAACATTTATTGGGCACTCCCAGTGGGCAGAGTGCTGGGCAAAACACTGGAAGGCATTGCAGCAGAGGTTCAATAGCTATTGCCACGTGCCTCGTGATTATATTTTAACTAAAGGGAGGGGATACGTGTTAAGCACACACCAGCATGTGTGACCGACACGTAGATATATGCATTGTGCATTCACCACTGCTAGTTTAGCGTGAGAGGTTACCGCAGTAACCAGGGCACGAGAAGCCACTGGGACACACGGACTGAGTAAAGATCGAAGACACATTCCAGCGCGCAAGTTGTAATTTACCATTCTGGTGATGAGCGGAAGCTACCTGAAAACACTAGAAAACTTGGTGTTTTCTTGGTGAACCTATTTTCTTAACCATACAGGCCGCTTGAGTTCATTCAAATTAGTAGTCCAATTCAGCATGAAATAAAGGCAGTTGACTCAACAATGTACTAGAACAGCTTTATGTTAATAAAAAATGGTTTTTTTATTTAAAAAAATTTTTTTAATGTTTATTTAGTTTTGGAAGAGAGAGAGAGAGAGAGAGA